GGGCCTACGGTTTATAGTCCTTATCCGAGAAGACTTGTTCTACCACCAGAACCATAGGCGAGCGAGCCGTTCGAACCAGCGCCGATATTATGGCTATAGCTTGCGGCGTCCCTGCTAACCGCTCGGCCATTCAACTCACCAACTCATTGTAGCACCCAATCGCAACGGGTAGCAATTGCGAAATCGATTACTTATCGATTACTATTGGTGAGCTTTCAGACACGATTTTAGTTTGCAATTGGGTGTCGCAATTGCTACAACCGATCGCAATTGAAGTTTCATTTCAAATTATTAAAATATTAAATTTCGATTTTCAAAGGCTGTCCGGTCGAAGTACTCCAGCAACAAGTTTCTCAAGATCAGCACATTTCCAGAACTAACTTTTACAACTATCCAACATCTTGCAGAGACCTCGTAATCTCCAGTTGCACCATGTCTACTGTACAGAGCAGATTCCTTCACTGTATGTTATCATGCCACAGTATAGAAATTACTACTACAGAGAATTGTTTAAAATATTATTGTCAGCAACTGCATGTGTACATATGTTCATTTCCTTGCAAATGGATAATTTATAATGTTTTTGTTGATTAGTTATAAGTGTAAATGTATATAATTAATGATTGCATGCATTAGCCATATTCTGTTTTTACTCAAAAGCAAATTTATCGAGTTAAATGTAGGTTTGCTTATTAGTGGCGTTATCATTTTTACTTGTATTAGGGCTATATTTAATTGATATTAATAAAATCTGAATATTAAAATGTCTGTTGGAATTCATTGTGTATTCACAATCAACCGGTCCCTTTCAGATGTCCTTGTTGAGCAGCCTTAATAAATTTCTTGAAGCATAACTTGAAAATTTGTCGGCGATACATCAAATTCAAATTTCTATTCAAAAGAAACGTTTGACGAATGATGTAAATAGAATAATTATAATTATTACCGTAACCTATTTACTTATTATATATTTCAATTGTATTTTAATCGAAATGTCTGGTTAAGTTAGCATTTAGCTTGAAAATGAACATAATTTATTGTACTTACATTTTTATATTTCGCAATTTTTGTGGGCCTTCATAATTGTCGTATTCATTATCTTACTCTTCCTCCGCGTCATCACAATACAGTACTCGCCATCATAATTAATATTGAGAAGATATACCAAAGAAACGCGTACATTGTGAATTTCATTATTTTTATAGCATTACTTGTTTCCAAAGTAGTAAAGTGTTAACAGTAGCAGATCCAGGAATTTGAAACAGAGGGGCCCGGAATGGCACATAAATGAAGGCCGGAAATGGCACTCTGGACCAAAATTTTAGTCGAATTTTCTTTTTAATTAATTTTAAACAATTTTGACAAATTTAGGGGTCCCAGGCCGGCTGGGTCCCCTTAAATCCGCCTATGGTTACAGGCTGTCCGCTTGAAATGCGCCAGCAAGAAGTTCCACAAGATCAGCATGTTGCTAGAACCACGTTCCGCAACTACAACTACCAAACATCTCAGTGGCAACAATCTCCGCTTCTACAGCATATGCTACAGAATTATATAAAAACTATTGACTATGGAATTTTATGTCTACTGTACAGCAAGTTCCTCCACTGTATGACAACGTATAGAAATTACAGAAAATTATGTAAAATATTGTATAAGCAACTATTCAGAAAAATTCCACAACAAATTACAAATTGCAAATTGTTTACAAATGCATCAAAAGAAGCGGTGGCTTGTCAGTTTGAATACCAAACATACAAAACATAAACACACAGAATACATAGTAAACACATCAACATTTAAATTTTTAAATTTGGGATCGCCCACAATTGCCGGCATTTCCCGGAAGGGGAAATGCCTCAGTGATCATCACATCATAATAATAATACCGTGCGCCTCAGACACCAAGACATCTCCATCAGTGCCCCGGAAAGTGCCAGTGATCATGGACGACTCCCAAGAAATGAAGAAATTTTAAAAAGATAAATTTAAAAAAAAACAAAAAAAAAACGGAGCAAAGCAAGAAAAGTTTTCCTTAATAAGCATATAATATAATCTCTTTAAATTTATTTTTGATCGAATTTTGCGAATTTATTTTTAATAGGCTATCATATAGCTCATTCCAGATATTTGGTCCGTGAATAGATCTGTGACAGGATGTCAGTCTTGAAAAAGGTACATACATTTTGTTTGAATTTCTTAGGGCTTTTGCACGATCACTTTTTGTATTACCATCAAGGATTTTGCATAAGGGAGGGGGTAATTGCCTGAGATGATATATAGAAATAAAACATACTGCCTGTACCTTATTTATATCCAAGATTGTAAACATATTAAATTGTTTAAATAATGGACGTGATCTAGTATCTCGGGGTGAATTTGTTATTAGTCTAACTGCTAATTTGTGTAATTTATGTAACTTTTCAATACCGTATGTGTTGTGTAGTAATTTCCCTATATAAACGTTCCCATATTGAAGGTGCGGCAAGATAAAGGCGTTATATACACTTATTAGTGTATGTACAGGAATTTTTTTTTTACTTTACAGATGATACCAATGGCCTTAGATATTTTGTTGCATAAATATTGAATGTGGGGTTTCCAACTTAAATTTTCGTTTATAACAATACCTAAGAATGTGAAGCTATTTATTCTTTTTAGGTTTATACCATTTATTTCGATAGAGGTATTTTGTGACTGTTTTAATATATTTTGTGGTTGGAAAATAACAAAGTTTGTTTTATTTATATTTAAGACAAGTTTATCTGCTTTAAACCATTCATTAAATTTTGAAAGTTGAAAGTTCAATGTATGTTTCAAATTAGTAATATTTTAGTTGAATAATAGAAGGTGGTATCGTCTGCGTACGAGATTACCTTAACTACATTGCTAACATTGCATATATCGTTCACATACAGTATAAATAGCAAAGGGCCTAGAATCGACCCCTGGGGACCCCACAATTAATTTCAGATAGTGATGATTTTATATCATTTATGCTGACAAATTGTTTTCTGCCTACTAGGTAACTCATGAACCATTTCAAGCATGTGCCCCTTATACCGTAATGATGAATCTTTTGTATTAATATACGTCATGATTCATTACATCAAAAGCTTTAACTAGTTCAAAGATGGCATGCGAGGTGGAGTGTTTAGCACGGAATCCGTATTGGTGGGGGTTTAATATTTTATATTTAGTTAGGTAGTCATAAAGTCTATCGTGCATTGCCTTCTCGAAAATTTTAGAAAAAACAGGTAGCACTGATATCGGCCGGTAATTAGTAATTTCATCATGTTTTCCTTTTTTGTAAACGGGGATAACCTTAGCAATCTTTAGTTTATTGGGAACAATGCCAGTTTCAAAAGAACAGTTTATAATGTGGACTAGGGGGCTTACGATAATATGTGAAATCCTTTTTATTGTTTGGAGATATATTATCATATCCGGAACTCTTATTGTTGTCTAGATTTATGATTATATCAAATATTTCTTTAATTGTAACAGGGTTAATGTAAAATGAGTTAGCCTGCCTGTTTGTTTTTTTTAATAACTAAATGAATTGACATTAGAATTTATATTTTTGCATAATTGTTGTCCGATGTTAATGAAATAATTATTAAACTATTCTGGTGTTATAGTAGGATCTGTAAATGTATCATATTATGCTTACTGGTATCGAGAAATTTTAGCTTAGTCTTATTTGGATTTATAACATAGTTTATTCTGTCCCTTCTTGCCCTTTTACATAACTTGTACACGTTACGATATTTATCATGGTTTTCTTTGTCCATGAGGTTTTGCGACTTTAAGTATTTTTTATAAAGTTTAAGTTTCTTTTTGCTAGATTTTAATAATCCATTTGTCATCCATTGTTGTTTAAATTTACTTGAATTTGTTAGATCTTTTTGTTTGATTTTTTTTAGAATGTGTTTATCATAGAACATTTTTATAACACAATGGAACATATCGTAAGCAATATTTGGGTTTTTTTGAAGGATTACATTTGTCCAGTCTATTTTATATAAATTTATATAAATCATTAATAATATTTTGAATTGACTCATCATTAACGGTATATTTATACATAATAGGATTTTCTTTGTTAGATTTATGTGTATTTTGTACAGACTTTTCAACGTAAAATACAGGTAGATGATCAATTAAATCTGATATAAGAATAACCGTTGTGTATAAGAATTGTGTACATATATGTCAATTTCCTTACAATTGGATACTTCTAGGTTATGTTTTAGATTATTTTTATGGATATAAATGTATAACAATAATGATTAATTACATTAGCCATATTGCTTTTGCCCTCCAACAACAAAATTTTTAAATTGTAGGTTTGATTCTTTGTTGTGTTATCGTTTGTGCTTGCGTTATATTGTACATGTAATTGATATTAAAATTCTGAATATTAAATGTTTTGGTGTTGGAATTCATAATGTTGTGTTGTTTATATAAACCTGTCCCCAACCGTATATTGATCTGTACCCCAACTTCAACCCTTTAAATGTTTCCTTGATTGAGCAGCCTTAATAAATGACTTTTAGTAATAATGTACGGTAATACAACTAATGCACATGCTGGTGTCGGGCACCATTTCGCTGACATGCATTTTGGAAAACAGAGGTGACCAAGGAAACATTAAACAACAGTGGCTTGTTATTTCCAAATTTATTGGTACTGTATAAATATAATTATGTTGAAATTCATAATTTGTGTGTCGTTTGCATAAAATAGGTGCTGGAGCCTGACCGTATGATCTGTGCCCCTAGATATTGAGCAGCGTCACTAAATGAATAGGTAGTTTTCGCCACACGACCTTAACTTTAACGTTAGTACCGGTACCGAGCATGCAGCGCGATAGTTCCTCCTCTTTTGTAAACAAATCGAAATACGCATGCGCAAACCTGTAACTAACGTGCGTCGAGCACGTAAAATCCTGAAATTAACGTACTCCACAACGCAAGATGGATAAATTATGACGCCATTCGTTAACGTTAAGGTTAACGTCGTGCGGCGAAAACTGCCTAATGAATTACAGTATTACGTTAACTAATGCTGTGATAGAGTCCATTTGGATCCGTAAATTGCATCATAGAAGTGACCTAGCACATTTTAAACAACACTGATTTATTTAATTCTTATTATAATTTATATAAAATTCTTTTACAATAACAATATATAAATAATGTATCGATGGTACATTATTTTCAATTGATAATAATCTAAGTAAAACAGCAACAAAAAATAATGAGCTGATTGATAGCAGAGAGCAGTCTGCCTATAGCCGTTGACAGAGGGTGTCGCAACAAGGAACGCTGCAAATATAGAAAATAATGATCAAGTTTATTAACAAATTGAAATAATAAACTTACCGTAGATATAATTTCAAATTTACATTACACACAATGAACGATTATTCCAAAAAAGTTGCCCCCCCCCCCCCTCTTAAAGGCTTCATTTTAAACGTTAGGAACAAACCATTTTTATAGATGGTACGGTAACCATTCCAGCTTATCCTAGAAAATCGCCTGTTATTCAGATTTCATTTCTTGGACATCCGGGCTTTCTATAGAGAGTGGCGTATCTAGAAGTCTTGAATTGG